GAAGTTATGGGAATAAAAAACCCAAAACCCACTGCCATCAAGTTGATTTTGACGCATAGTGACCCTAATGGACAGAGTAGAACTGCCCCACAGGGTTTCCAAGGCTATAAATCTTTACCAAAGCAGACTGCCTCATCTTTCTCCCAAGGAGTGGCTGGTAGGTTCAAACCTGCCAACATTTTGGTCAGCAGTTAAACGTTTTAACCACTATGCCTCCAGAGCTCCTTTTCATGGGAAAAGAGAAAATAAAAGGAGGAGCTCATCACTTTTCAAAGTAATTTTCTAAACTCTATCCTCCTTCATCCTGTATTCATATTGTTCCTATATATTCGTTTACTTGTTCTCTACTAAAACTCACTTTGAGGACAGGCAATATTGTGGATTGAATTGCATCCCTTCCCCCCCATATGTGTTATAAATCCTAACCTCTATGCCTTTGATTATAATCCCATTTGCCAATGGGTTGTCTTATGTTCATGAGACGGGATTAGTGTAGGGTTTGTTTTAAGTCAATTTCTTTTGAGATATAAAAGAAGCAATCTTGGGAAATAGAGATCAGAGAATGATGATTCCAAGTCACATGATGATCACCCAGGAGCAGAAGCTCAAGGAGAGGGGCTCAAAGTAGCCTGCTGCTGTGAAGACTGACAGCCTTGGAAACCCTGTGGGGCAGTTCTATTCTGTCCTTTAGCGCCACTGTGTCATAATCCACTTGATGGCAGTGCCTTTGGGTTTTTTATTCCCATAACCTCAACATTGTGAGATATTTCAACAAACAGATGCCCCATTGGCGGCACTCACTCAGTTATGCCAAGAGATTTGGAGGACAGCTACCTGGCCAACTGACTGGAAGAGATCCATATTTGTGCCCATTCCAAAGAAAGGTGATCCCACAGAATGTAGAAATTTTAGAATATCATTAATACCACATGCAAGTAAGATCTTACTGAAGATAATTCAGAAACGCTTGCAGCAGTATATTGATAGAGAACTTCCAGAGGTTCAAGCCGGATTCAGAAGAGGACGTGGAACAAGGGATATCATAGCTGTTGTCAGATGGATCTTGGCTCAAGGCAGGGAATACCAGAAAGATGTTTACTTGTGTTTTATTGACTATGCAAAGGCATTTGATTGTGTGGATCATGACAAATTATGGATAACATTGAGAAGAATGGGAATCCCCGAGCACTTGATTGTACTCATGAGGAATCTGTACCTTGACCAGGAGGCTGTCGTTCGAACAGAACAAGGGGACACTACATGGTTTAAAATCAAGAAGGGAGTGCGTCAGGGTTGTATTCTGTCTCCACACTTATTCAATCTATATGCTGAGCAAATAATCCGAGAAGCTGGACTATATGAAGAAAAACGTGGTATCAGGATTGGAGGAAAAATCGTTAACAACCTGAGATATGTAGATGATACAACTTTGCTTGCTGAAAGTAAGGATGACTTAAGGCACCTACTGATGAAGGTTGAAGAATACAGTCTGCAGTATGGATTACATCTCAACATAAAGAAAACAAAAATCCTCACAACTGGACCAATGAGCAGCATCACAATAAATGGAGAGAAGATTGAGGTTGTCAAGGAATTCACGTTGCTTTGTTCTACAATCGATGCCAATGGAAGCAGCAGTCAGGACATTAGACGATGTGTAGCATTGGGAGCTCTGGTAGCATAGTGCCTAAGGCACTTGACTGCTAACCAGGAGGCTGGCGGTTCAAACCCACCAGCCACTCCTCAGAAGGAAGGTTGGGCAATCCTACTTCCGTAGTGATAACTGCCTCGGAAACCCAAGGAGGGGTCACTAGGAGTCGGGGCCGACTCTATGGCAAATAACAACAACAACAACAGCATTGGGAAAGTCAACTGCGAAGGAACTGTTTCAAGTGCTGAGGAGCAAGGATATCTCCTTGAGGACTAAGGTGCGCCTGACACAAGCCATGATATTTCCAATCGCCTGGTATGCATGTGAGAGCTGGACAATGAATAAGGGAGACTGAAGAAGAGTTGATGCTTTTGAGTTGTGGTGCTGGCAAAGAATGCTGAAAGTACCATGGACTGCTAAAAGAACTAACAGATCTGTCCTGGAGGAAGTGCAGCCAGAATGCTCCTTGGAAGCAAGAATGGCCAGACTTTGGCAAACCTATTTTGGTCCTGTTGTAAGAAGGAACCATTCCCTGGAGAAGGATGTCATGCTTGGCAGGGTGGAGGGTCGACGAAAGAGGGGGAGGCCTTCAACAAGATGGATTGATACGGTGGCTGCGATGATGGGATCAAGTATAGCAGGGATTGTGGGGCTGGCACGGGATCGGGCAGTGTTTCGTTCTGCTGTGCATGGGGTCGCTATGAGTCGGAAACGACTCGACGGCACTTAACGACAACAACAACCTCAACATCTTATTTGTTTATGATTATGGTGAGAATTAGTTTTCCAGAGCCAACAGAGACAAAGCCTTCCCCTAGGGGCAGCACCCTGAATCAGGACTTCTAACCTCCCAAACTGTGAGAGAATAAACTTTTGTTAAAGCCACCATTTATGGTATTTGTTATAGCAGCAGTAGATAACTAAGACTGGAAGCACGTATAAAGCAAACATTTTGGGATTTGGAACCATTTTCACTATTTATGTGGCCTTGGGCAAAAATACTTACTGTCTCTGAATCTGTCTTATCCCTAATATGAGGGGATTAATATCTACCATGAAGTGTTGTGAGAATTTAAATAAGATAAATTACATGAAATATCCTACCACAACATGACGAGCACTCAGTATGTTATTAGTTTCCTTCTTCAGAAAGGGTTTTAAAGTTCCAGGAGGGCAGAGGTCACCTGTCTATTTCCTTCCCCATTATTCTCCCAGAGCGCTGAGTTTTAGCACCAGGATCAGTCGCTGCTGATTCTGACTCACAGTAACGCCATGTGTGTCAGAGCAGAGCATTCCCTAAAGTTTTCAATGGCTGATTATTCCAAAGTAGATCATCAGGTTTTTCTTCTGAGGAGCCTCTGAGTGGACTTCAACCTCTGACCTTTTGGTATGCAGTGAGAGGGTTAACCATTTGCACCACCCAAGAGCTTGTAGTACACCTCAATAAATATTGGTCATTTAATAAATTACTTTTCAGACTTTTGTTTACAGCTGAAAGGCATCCTAAGTAATAATTAAGGACAGTTCACTAAGAATGTGCGCAAAACGTATTCTATTCTGTCTTCAAAAAAAATAAACCCTGATATTTCCCCCAAGAGGAGCCCTTGAGCTATGCACTGGGTTGCTAATCTAAAGTTTGGAGGTTCAACCCACCAGCTGCTTCTTGGGAGAAAAGACCCGGAAATCTGCTCCTGTGAAAATTACAGCCTAGGAAACTAGATGGGGCAGTTCTACTCTGTCCTGTAGGATCACTATGAGTTGGAATCAACTGATGGTACATAACATTACCCCCAAATTAAAACCGGTTAATCTGATGGCTAATCTTTTGAATCATATACAAACATGGCAATATATTTTAAAATAATAATGGCCATTAGCTCAGGAATTATACTCCTAATGATTTCTAGTAAAGAATCAGACACTCAAAGATTCATGTAAAAATATGTTCAAAGCACATAATTTATAATAGGGAAAATGGAAACAACAGAATGATTAATAAATTATCACATATTTTTACTGGCTACGCATAGGGAATAGAACGACGGGAAGATTATGAGACTGTATTCTAGACTCAATTTGACTTCATCTGAAATAAATTCTGTATCTGACTTTCTACGGTGCGTTTCACCTTCCCTAGTCTAGTTTTGCTCTTCCACTTTCATTATGGTGGGTTGCAGTGGACATTAATAGCGAACACTCTGGTACAAGGGAACCGTGGCAGAGGGTCCCCCAAATAACAGAATTAATGGGAAAATGAGGAAGAAATTTGAGGTCTTCAAACTCGTTCTCACAGAAGTAAAAGGACAAAGGAAACGCTTATTCGCGTGTTGTTATGTGCCGTTGAGTCAGACCCGACCCATAGCGACCAGGGCAGTATCACCACGGAAGTAGATTGCCCCATCTTCCTTCCGGGAAGCGGCTGGTGGGTTTGAACCGCCAGCCTTCTGGTTAGCAGTTAAGGGCCTTAGCCACTACGCTACCAGAGCTCCCTACCTAGATGGCCAGAAATCACTTCTGTTCTACACATTACAAAGCTTCTCCCAGTCAGACAAGCAGGTAACGCTCTTCCAGCCACCTCCTCGAGGCAGATGAGCGAACAAGAAACCTGGGTGGGTCCCGGTGGCCTTTGAAGAAAACAGACTTGGCCTGTTGCCCGGAGACCAGGCCCAGCCGCCTCCTCCAATCAGCACGCACCTACTTGCGTCCAATCACAGAGCCAGGAGGGCCGTGGTTGGCGGTCAAAGGTTACGCTGCTTTTTGGCGGCCATTTCTCTCCGAGCAGCGCGATTCGGGGCCTAGAGCAGCTGCTTCAGTCACGAGGGACGGGCGACAGCTGGATCGGCTGCGAGAAGTCCGCACCATTCGCCGGTAGTCGCGATGGTAAGGAGAGAACGGCGTGAGTCGCCGGAGAGACAGGGAGGGCGAACTCCCTAACCAGCCCCGGTGATGGTTTTGCGCGGTCCCCATTCATCCATGTGAGGTGCTATGAATCTCGCCACCAGTCCCTTTCTCTCTGGGCTGGGGGCTTTGAGGTCCTTCTGATACCTCTTCCTCCCCGGTAGACCCTGCCCTTTTTGCCCCTTTTGGTTTGAACCTGGGCCTGAGGTTTTCCTCCTGGCTGGGGCTAGGGTAAATATGAAGCGGAACTTTGAGACGCTGGATTTTCACGTCCCGCGTAACACACTCCAGAATCCACTTTAATGCAGTGATGTTCGACCTTCCACTGCCGCAGTCTTCTTGAGCCCAAAGCACAGGCTTTGGAGCTTTCTTTTATTTCGTAAACCTTTATTGAGGGACCTACCTGTCAGTTACTGTTCAAGGCGCTAGAGATGCTGGGTGAAAAGTACTGATGCGAACCTTGCGCTCTGTATCGTATTGGGTGTGGGGGACAGGCATTAGTCAAATAACAAATAAGCCTATAGTTGCAGATAATTATAAGTGCAACGAAGGAAGCAAACAAGATGCTTCGTCCATTAGGCAGGTGATCAGGGATAGCCTCTCTGATAGATGGGATTTAAATGACTTGAAATGCGGTTCTTTAAAGAATAAGAGGAAGAGTGTACCAAGCACAGGGAACACGGACGTAAGCCTTAAGGCCAGAAAGAACGCTTGACACGTTTCAGGAGTTGACAGAAAGCCACGGTGCTTGGAGGAAGAAGAGTTATGAAATAGAGTCAGAGAAGGCAGGCTGAAGGCAGTATCAGGGAGTTTGTATTTTACTTCACGTGCAGTTGGAAGTTATCGAAGCATTTTGAGCAGAGAGATGGCATTGGCTGTATACGTGAACATTAGTTGCTGCATTTGATATTGGAGAATGGTGAGTGAAGACTGCAGACCTCTTAGAAGGTTATTGCACTAGCCCCTGTGTCCTTTGAGATCACTCTGAATATGATTATCTTAGAGGGGTTGTGCAGCCAACTTTCTCAGTTTCATTTGGGCTGATGGGGAAGCAGACAAAGGAAAGAAATCTGAATTCCCTGGGGATCCTAGTGGTTTGCTGAATAAAACAGCTGTTACGGGGCAGGCCCTGCTAGGCAATAGTGACACAAAGTCCGATAAGACCTAATCCTAGCCCCTAGAATTAAAGTGGAATGTTCTGGCCCCTGCCTCCTCTGTGGCCTCATATTTGGGGGCTCTGACAATACAGAATTGTTTGTTTCTCTCTGAGCTTACCTCAGGAGTGCATACCTCAGGTGCATACCGTGAAGCTCCCAGCTTGATTGGCACCAACCCAGAGGTGCCTCAGAATGAAGGCCTGGGAATCGGCGGTCTACTCTGTGCCCACGGGGATGGGTTGCCATGAATCAGAATGGACGCTCTCTCTGGCAGCCGGTTTGCTTTGAACTCACCTTGTAGCTTCACTCTTACCTGCTTTTGCTTATGCAGCCTTCTCGCCCTAGTGAAATGATCCTTTTTTCCTCTCTGGAAACACTTCTCATCCTTTAAAACTGTGTCGTGAATTACTTCAGACAGCCTTTCCCCTGGATGGGTTGATACCCCAGTCCTTACCTCCTCTTACTACACTGCATATAATCACTTGCCCATCTGAAGCATCTTGTCCTACTCTCACCTGTGAGCTTCTTGAGGACAGGACATGTGCTTTTTTTTTTTTTTTTTTTTTAAGTGCCTACACTTTTCTTTGTTCAGGGCCTAGAACAATTTTTTTTAAGTGAATAATGAAAATTCTGAAAATTTTGATGAGTTGAAGATGAAACTGGCTAATTGGTTGTTTAAATGAATTAAACTGGTGGCTAATTGGTGCCTTTCAATAAATAATAGTGATAATAATTTTAGTAGTAGTGATTTTCATAATTTAAAGAGTGAGAGAGAGTCAAGACTTTCTTCATTTGGATACCATGAAATGTTAGTTGATGACTGGCGGAGGCAAAGGGATGGTAGAAGCCAAGCTAAGGGAAACAATCAATTGAGTCTTTTTTTTTCCCCCCTTTTTGTAATTCTTTGTGCAGAGTTTACCCCTCAACCCCAAACCCTTCCTGAATGGATTAACGGGAAAGCCAGTGATGGTGAAACTTAAGTGGGGAATGGAGTACAAGGGCTACCTGGTATCTGTAGATGGCTATATGAACATGCAGGTAAGCTAAAGAGTTACAAAGGTTATGCACTTGTATTTATTTTGTAACATAGGGTTAACCCAAAATTCAGCCCCAGATTTGACTCCATGTGGTTAAACTAAGAAGAGCCAAGGCATTTGATTCATAATGCTGTGAGGGAAGCACACTAGTTTGCTGAAGAAAGCAAAACTTTTCCCAGCACTTAGCTCTGAAAGAAATTTCTCAGGTGAAACACTTACAATGCTAAGATTTTTTTAATGTAAAAGTTTACCACTTGAACTGATGACACTCAGGTCCCCAAGGTTATAGAGCATGGTTTTGGCCTGGGAAATTCCCAAAACAGGAACCTCACCAAGGCCAGAGAAATATCCGAAAAGTATACCCATTGGCATGAAAATTTTCCAGAATTGGTGGTGGTTGCACAACTTTATAAATTGTATAAAGTTAAAAAAAAAAAAAAAAAACCCACTAAATTGTATAGTTTAACAGAGTGATTATTATGCTATAAGAATTATATTTCAATTAAAAAAAAAATCCGTTGAATGTTTGATTTTAAAAGTAATACAGCTTCCTAGTGAGCCTGCCAGAATTAGTTGTAAAATGTATCCCTGAGTAACCAACCACACTGATAGGCTTTTGAGTTCTTTTCTCAGCAAATATTTATTGAGCACCCGCTTGTGCCTCACACTGTGAATAAAGCAATGAACAAAACAAAGTCCCTATCCTGAAGGAATTGGAAATGGTAATAATAAATGTGACACTATGTAATGATAGATGCTATGAAGAAAAACAGCAGAACAAGGGAAAAGAGTGACAGAAGATGCAGTAATAGATAGGATTGCCAGAGAAAGCCTCTCTGAAAAAGTACCTTTAAACAGATGAGAATTAAATGAGCAACTCAAGTGTCTGGTGGGTGAGCTTCCCACTTTACAGGAAAAGTAAGTACAAAGGCCCTGTGGCAGGAGCATACTTGGCATGTTAAGTGTGATAGAAAGTGTTTGGAGCATTAATGTGTACTTTAGAAACGAATTAAATGTGGGTGAACACTGGCCAGAAATAATCACTGTTTTAAAAATAGTTGATCTTAATATATTATTTGTGATATTCATTACATGTAATACTATTCGTCTCTTGACAACCACATATATTTCAAATAAAAACATATCCTCTGGCTATAGGAGGATACTTTTTGTTCTCTGTAGAAGAGAAAGTAATACCCAGTATCAGCATTAATTCATTAAAGTGTTTTACATGCTTATCTCATGTCCTCTTTCAGCCCCATTTTCCTCTCCTTTTCCACCTGTCCAGTTATGAAGGAAATTTCTCTTTACCCCTTCTTTCCTGTTCATTTCTCTTGTAAGCCCCAGATGGCACTGATGATGATTTTTAAAAAGTACAAGTAAAGTTTACCACCTGTGTGAAGGAAAGCTAAGCACTTACATGTAATTAGAAATAATAGAGTTCCCTTAAATTGCTATAAAGGTCACTCTTAATTGTTCAGTCTCTTCTTAAAGAACTTGTTTTTCCCTGTTGATTAGTACATATTATTTTAAAATTTTTATTCAGTTCTTTAATTTGGTTGTTGACTGATATAAAAATATTTGCTCTTTTAGCCAAACCTTTTGTATACCCATTTGGGTACCTATGATTTATAGCATAGTACTTGGGAAAAGTCACTATCTGGTTCTTTAGAACTGACTTTTGGGAAAACTGGTGAATCACAGCTTACTGGTTATCAGAGATTGCCTTCCTTGATGTACTGTTGATGCCTGATGGAGAGAAATAATATATAACCCAGGAGATTTTGAAAATTATATTGACAAGCTTTATTATATAACATGCTAGGTCTGCATCCATCAATGTGAACTTTGTTGTTGTTGTTATGTGCCGTTGAGTCGTCTCCAACTCATAGCGACCCCTCCTTGGGTTTCCAAGGCAGTATCACTACGGAAGTAGATTGCCCCATCTTCCTTCCGAGGAGTGGCTGGTGGGTTTGACCGCCAGCCTTCTGGTTTGTCAAATGCATTAGGCACTACGTCACCAGAGCTCCCTATGTGAACTTTAGTGTATGTTTATATGAAACTAAAAAGAACTATGATAGCTCATTGTAATAGAAAGCTATAATCTAATTATTGATTTAGATAATGTGAGTTGTTGGCATAGGAAGGTCTCAGTCAGTGAGTTCTTTCATCATATTAAATATGTTATATATTTTTATCTTGTGCTATTATACTAATAATATATTCTCTTTTTATTTAAAGCTTGCAAATACAGAAGAATACATAGATGGGGCATTGTCTGGACATTTGGGTGAAGTTTTAATAAGGTAATAGAGCAGTAGGATGTGTAAGGAGTTACTGATGAGCATCAGAAACATCTGTTTAAATAAACTAGTGTCTCAGTTTCTGAATTACTTCTTAATGTATTAAGTTAGTACTTTTTAAATGATTAATTGCGCAAAATAAACCTCAAAAGATTTCGAAATTGTTAAAGTCTTTGAAAATTGTTAAGTATGTTGAAACTGTTCTTCATGATTTTTCTAGTGTTGATACTAAACTTTCCAGCTTATAGCTGAGTACCTTTGTCAGTGATCTTGGTTGTAGGAGCTTGGTTTAGAATTGTAGTTGGTCTGTCTGCTGTGTCGGATTTTTAACATACTTTTCTAGAACTAGCTTCAAACTCCCAAGTTCCTTTGGAAAATCATAAATATGTCATTTAAAATAAATGTCATGTGCTTTTTTAATAATGCTGTAATAGAAGAGAAATTTTTTAAATAGAAAGAAATGATACACATTTAGCATTCAGTATTTTTGTAATGAAAAAATCTAAGTCATTCAGATGTATGTGGTTTTCAATTGGAACAACAAAATGGACTGTTTTTCTATTTACAGGTGTAATAATGTCCTTTATATCAGAGGTGTTGAAGAAGAGGAAGAAGATGGGGAAATGAGAGAATAGCATCTTTTGTGGGGGATTTTTTTTATATATATATATTTCTAGACAATAAAGGTGTGTTTGTTTTTCAACTTGACTTGTGAACCATTCATATTTATATGCAAAGCTCAACTGGTGAAACAATTGAGAGATTAGTTACAGAACTAATGCTTTAAAAACCATCCAACTTTATTCGAGTTGAAGTTCTTATTGTAAGACCAATACTGTTTTCTCCGGGGGAAAATAACTTATTTACATGCTTTAGAAATTTTTATGAAGGTTAATTTAGCCCATTTCTTCTAATTATATGTTGTTGTTGTTATGTGCTGTCAAGTCGGACCAACTCATAGCGACCCCTCCTTGATACCACCTCGGAAAGGTGATACCACCTTTCCGAGGTGGTATCGCTATGGAAGTAGATTGCCCAACCTTCCTTCCAAGGAGTGGCTGGTGGGTTTAAACCGCCAGCCTTCTGGTTAGCAGTCAAGTGCCTTAGGCACTATGCTACCAGAGCGCCTAATTTTGAGACTTTTTTTTTTAAATTGTGATTTGGATGAAAAATTACAGAGCAAATTCATTTTCCTTTCAATAGTTCATACACATTTTATTTCATGACATTGATTGCAATCCCCATAATGTAACAGCTGTCTTGCCATTTCCTCCACATGGTTACCTTTTCCCTGTATCCTTCTTTTCTATATATTCCTGCCCTCTGAGCTATCTCCCTGTGCAAATGCTGCCCTTCTAATCTTTCGAGGTTGTGTGTTCTAAGGAGTGTACCTACCTGGCAGGTACATTTACCTCGTGTAAATGTTCACCTTATAGGCCTGTCCATAGTCTGTCTGGAAGTCACAGGAGTGAGTTCACTTCTAGGCCCTGAGGGTGACTAGGGACCAATAGTCTTGGGGTTTTCACCAGTGTCTATCAGACCAATAAGGCTGGACTTTTTTCTGATTTTGAGTTTTCCACATTTTTCTCCCATTCCAACCAGGATCTCCTATTTTGATCATTTTCCTAGTGGTTGACAGAGGTAGCCAAGCACCATCTAGTTCTGGGTCTCACATCATGTAGATTCACATGGTCCACTAGTCCCTTGGACTAATTGTTTCCATGAGTCTTTGATTTTCTTTACTCTGCTGCAGACAAGGAGAGATTAATTGTTGAATTTTACATGGCTGCCCACAAGCTTTTAAGACCCCAGTCATTACTTACCAAACTAGGATGTAGAACAATGTTCTTGTGTAGTGTATTATGCTAACTGAACTTGATAGCCCTACAACCATGGTCCAGAGCCCACAGGCCCAGTGACTTACTCCCTCAAGGTTTTCGGCTGTGGCTAAGAAGTTGTAACTGTCCCATTAGCTCTGTTATATATATGTACATTCTTATAGCACATACAAAGATGTATGTAGAAATATCATCTGCCAAACTTATATATGGTCATGGGTATATTTTCTTTTGCCTAGACATAACCTGATCATTTAGCCTGTCTACCTGTGTATCCACTCATAGATTAAAGTTTATTATTACTGATAATGCAGTATTGTGTATGTAAAAGTTTAACTGAGACCTTTTAACAGCCACTGTTACTTTTAAGTTGTTGGGCCACTTTTCAAAGGTATCAATTGAATCATAGTATTATATATTATTTTCCTTAGCAGTCAGTAAATTATATGATAATTTTATATCGATATAATAACATTGGAGCACTGCTTGAAAATTAAAGTGACTGTGGAGATAGGGCACAACAAAAAGTGAACTGTCAGGTTGAAGGTTTATGCTTTGTTCATTTAAGACAATTACGTTTTCAACAAGAACTCAGGAGTGTAAAATACAAACCAATTTCACAATTATGTTCTGAGACTGTAATCTAATGGTTTTTACTTAAGTTGTAAACCCCTAGAACCTTTCAGATATTTTAAAATTGTACATCGTGAAAATGTATATTCCACAGTGATACAACATATGCTATGAACTTTCACATAGACTGGTTGAGAAAATGTATCTTGTAAAGTCTTATGTTGTCAGAAAATAGACATTCGTACACTTTAATGGTCATTTGCTCTATACTTATATCAACAAAGTAACTTTGGACATACATGTCCAACTGTATAGCAACTCAAAGTATAAATATAAATGTTTAGCTTTATAGAAAAATACTTAGGAATAAGAAAAGGCTTCCAAAAAAGAAAATAACTCCCATTTCTATTCCTATAATCTTAAAAATAAAAGCCTGTCTTCCTCAAATTGGTTAAGCAAGCATATGGGACCAAAATATTGTCATAACTGAAAACCAAAATTAGAGAATATGCCTAAAAATCATTCTGGTAATAAAATGCCTTATTGTTCCTTTCAAGTGAAAAAATATTCTTCCTCCTGTGTTTTTGTTGTCTCACTGACTAATTGTAGTTCATGTTTGTCACCAGATCGAGGTCTTGAACGAAAGATAAGTCGTCTTCCCAACTGAAACAAAAGGAAAGCAAAATATTTAATCTTACTTAACATAGTTATTTTAAAAAAGTAAATAATCATGGTTATGAGAAGATAACCTTATGGATAGCCAACATGTTAGGCAAAGTTAAGTAACAAATTAAGCACTTGTATTATGCAAGAGGGAGCTTTGTTGGCATAGTGCCTAAGGCATTTGACTGCATTTGAGTGTTCAAACCCACCAGCCATTCCCCAGAAGGAAGGTTGGGCAATCTACTTCCATAATGATACTGCCTCGGAAACCCAAAGAGGGATTGCTATGAGTCAAATCTGACTAGACGGCAATGTGTTTCATTTTGTATTATGCAGAAAATAGCAGTTATGTTTTATGGGGAATTGGGGAGATAGGTAGAGTGATCAAATAGAATATGATTCAGTTAACCCTTGAAAAGCACCATGTTGGCCATCATTTTTCAGTAAGTGCCATAGTTAATTTTTCCTTCATGATTAGAAGAGATTATTTGTGCTGAGCACCAGTTGACTGGCATTTAGATACTTTGTTAAACAAAACATGAGGAAACCATGCACTATTTTCTTTAAGTCTGGTATTGCTGTTGACTCTTGAAGGTGTTCCCACCAGGAAAGGCTTTGAGAAACCCCTAGATTCAAACCTATTCATTTTCTCTGGGGTATGTACTCAAACATGTCACTATTCAAATTATTTCTTCTCTTTTAATCATTGGATTCCCCCCCCCCCTTATTTTTGTTTTGCTTTATCACTTAATTTGTGTAAAGTATATGAATGGATGAAGAGACCACCATATTCTATTGGACATGAGATCTGATGGAACATCATGTGTCTCAGAAAAGGCACCACAGACATTTTGAGCTGGGTAAGTCTGTGTGAGAAGCCATCCCTTGCGTTGCAGAATGCTCCTGGCCCAAAGGAACTAAACAGTAGCACACATCCCATCATAATAAAATTGTCCTAGGGGGAGTAGAATTCCTGAATTCCTATTGAAATTTTATTAAAAATATCAAGGATCTCCTTTGGTAACCTCTGTTATTAAGACTTTCTGAGAAAATTGCCAATAAAGGATCTTGAGTAAGAACTTCTGTTAAAAGATCTTTGTACATGGTGCACTAATTGGGTCACCATCCTTTTAAAAATTTTTCTAGTGTTTTCATTTTTTCAGTAAGCATTGAGTGTCCCCTGTGTGCCAAGCATTGAGGATACAAAGGTTATAACTCTTAAAGTCTAGAAGGAAAGATGGATGTGTTAAATAATTTCAATTTGGTGGGTTAAATGAATAGTAGTATGTACATGTGGAAGGGCTATAAAGAATGATTAATACTCCCTTGAGAGGACAGAACAGGAAAATCTTTGTTCAGTTGAAGTAGATAAGTAGACTTCTTAAGATAAAATACTTATTTAAATAAAACCATTACTTTTTGACAGTTTTTTTTTTTTTAGTTTTGCTATATTTTAATAGATTAGTCTTCAAATCATCAAACCATTTCATATTCTATAGCCAATCAGCCAACATTTTTCATTTGGTTGTGGTTGTTGAAACATTACATACTACATTACAGTTACCAATATAATTTTATTGTGATGAAATACATAAACCAAAGCTATTTGCCATTTCAACCAATTTTGTATATGCAATTCAGTGACAATTATATTCACCATGTTGTGCACAGTCACCGTTATGTCCAAATATTTTGATCACCTGTGAACAAAAACTGGAATCTCCAGCATTATTTCTATCACCAAGGCCATATTGGGAATTGCAGAACACTTAATTGTGTTCATCAGGAACTTGTATATAGGCCAGGAGGCTGTTGTTTGAACAGAACGAGGGGATACTGTGTGGTTTAAAATCAGGAAGGGAGTGTCAAGGTTGTATCCTTTCACCATACTTGTTCAATCTATGCTGAGCAAAAAATCCAAGAAGCTGGATTACATGAAGAACAATATGGCATCAGGATTGGATGAAGACTCATTAACAACCTACAATACGCAGATGATACAAGTTTGCTTGCTGAAAGTGAAGATTTGAAGCACTTACTGATGAAGATTAAAGACTACAATCTGCAGTATGGATTACATCTCAGCATAAAGAAAACCAAAATCTTCACAACTTGACCAATAAGCAGCATCACAATAAATGGAGAAAAGATTGAAGTTATCAAAGGTTTCGTATTACTTGGTTCCACAAGCAACACCAGTGGGAGCAGCAGTCAAGACATCAGATGACATTGTACTGGGCAAATCTGGTGCAAAAGACCTCTTCAACGTGCTGAAGAACAAAGATGTCTCTTTGAAGACTAAGGTGCAGCTAACCCAAGCCATGGTATTTTCAATTGCCTTATATCCATCTGAGAGCTGGACATGTATAAGGAAGACCGAAGAAGAGTTGATGCTTTTGAGTTGTGGTGTTGGCAAAGAATACTGAGGGTACCGTGGACTGCCAAAAGAACTAACAGATCTGTCCTGGAAGAAGTGCAGCTGGAATGCTCCTTGGAAGTGACAATGGCCAGACTTTGTCTCATCTACTTTGGTGATGCTGTCAGAAGGGACCATTCCTTGGAGAAAACTATCATGCTTGGTGAAATGGATGGTCAATGGAAAAGAAAAGAGGAAGGCCCTCAACGAGATTGGCTTGACACAGTGGCTGCAACGATGGGCTTAGATATAGCAAGGATTGTGAGAAGGGTACAGGACCAGGCAGTGTTTCATTCTGTTATACATAGGGTCTTTATGAGTTGGAGCCAACTCAACAACACCTAACATTAGCAAAAACTCTACCCCTTGAGCATCCCCCCCCCACACACACACACACATCTCTCCCTTAAACCTGCTCCTGGTAACCACTAATCAATTTTGGTATTACTTGTCAATTTCTATGTTATTTGCCTATTCTGGATATTTCATGTAAGTGGAATCCTAGAATATTTGCCCTTTTGTGTCTGACTGACTTCATTCAGCATAATGTTTTCAAAGTTCAACCATTTATCAGAACTTCATTTTATGGCTGAATAATATTCCATTGTATGGATATACTACTTTGTTCATCTGTTGACAGACATCTGAGTTGTTTCCACATTTTGGCTATTGTAAATAATGCTACAATGAACATTGGTGTACAAGTATATCTTTGTGTCCCTGCTTTCAAATCTTTTGGGCATATACCTAGGAGTGGAACTCCTAGGTTATATGATAATTCCATTTTTAACTTTTTGAGGAACCAGCAAACTTCCACAGTGGTGGCACCATTTTATTATTCCACCAACAATAGATGAGATTTCTACTTTCTCCACATCTTCACCAACACTTGTAATTTTCTGGTAACAGCCATGCTGTTGTTGGCATTGAGTTGGTTCCAACTCCTAGCAATCATATGTGCAGAGTAGAACAGCTGGGTAAGGTTTTCAAGGCTGTTACCTTTTAGAAACATTGCCAGGTCTTCTGAGGTGCCTCTGGGTGAGTTTGAACCACCAACCTTTTGGTTAGTCCAGTGCTTAACCATTTGTGCCACCCCAAAGACTAGTGGGTATGAAGTGGTATCTACTGTGGTTTTGATTTGCATTCCCCTGATAACTAGTGATGTTGAGTATCTTTTCATATGTTTATTGGCCATTTGCATACCTTCTTTGGTGAAATATCTATTCGAGTCTTTTACCCCCTCTCCCCTTTTTTATTGTGATTTGGGTGAAAATTTACAGAGCAAATTCACTTTCCATACAGCAGTTCACATACACTTTGTCTCATGACATAGCCCACAATTTACCACAATGCAACAGCTCCCCTCCCACTTCCTCCCAATAATTACCTCTTCTCTGTGTCCATCCCTCCATGCCCTCCTGCCCCCTGAGCTGTCTCCCAGTGCATAAGCAGCCCTTCTTTCTCCCATAATTGTTCTCTCCGAGGAGTATATCTACCTCAGGTAAACGTTCAACTCATATGCCTGTCTT